AACCAAACCCAACCAACCAACCAACCAACCAACTAAACCCAATTCATCCAACCTAACCAAACTCAGTCCAACCAACCAACCAACCAACCAACTAAACCCAATTCATTCAACCTAACCAAACTCAGTCCTACCAACCAACCAACCAACCAAACCCATTTCATCCAATCTAACCAAACCCAATCCAACCAACCAACTAAACCCATTTCATCCAACCTAACCTAATCAAACACAATCCAACCAACCAACTAAACCCAATTCATCCAACCTAACCAAACCCAATCCAACCAACCAACTAAACCCAATTCATCCAACCTAACCTAACCAAACCCAATCCAACCAACCAACTAGACCCATTTCATCCAACCTGACCAAACCCAATCCATCCAACTAACTAAATCCAATTCATCCAACATAACCAAACCCAACCAACCAACCAACCAATCAACCAACCAAATAAATAAATAAATAAATAAACAAATTCCAAAGCAGAACTGGCCACATCGCCCTCATGCCTAGAAAGCAGCACATTGTGCAGGTTTGATACCAGTGGTGGAAGTATTATGCTGATTTTCCACTTTTCTGGATCTAGAGAGAAGGTAGAGGAAAGCACACTTGTGATCCAGAGAAATGAGCCTTAGAAATAAATCTATTCAGACTTATTTTGTAAAATCCAGAGAAAAGCTTAGTAATGTTTGAAAAGTGTGAGTCAGGCTGTTAGCGGAAGCTGTGCTGCTTTGTGTGTTGGAGTGATTGAACTGGTTTAGTTTGAATACGTAGAAGAAGAACCTCCGGTTAGCTAAGTGAAGCCAACCCCTCCCAAAAAATGAACCACAGGGGAAAAAAAGGCAAATACGATGAGTGGTTAGTGCTTCGTTTGTGCACTTGAAATTGACGTTTGTGCTGCTATGGTTTTTATATTAAAGATTATTTGTAAGGGTCATTCAGGGGTCACCATCCCACCTGATCGCTCCAAAATGAACCAAAAACAAACTAGTCAAATTTTGTAGTGCTTAGTTTGAGCAGGTTTGTGCCGTTGAAACAATTGTTTGTGCCGCTGTAGTTTATGAGATATTACACATTATAATTTTGGACGATCATGTGATTTGGCCTGAATTGTTTACGTCTGTGACAACGGGCCGAGTCATGTTTCAACGACACAAACCTGCTCAAACAAAGCACTACAAAATTCAACTAGTTTGGTTCATTTTTGGTTGATTTTGGAGCGAGCGGGTGGGATGGTGACCCCTGAATGACCCTTACAAATAATCTTAATATATAAAAAAACCATAGCAGCACAAATGAAAATTTCAAGTGCACAAACGCACACAAACGAGGCACTAACCACTCATCGTATTTGCCCTTTTTTTCTGTGGTTCGTTTTTTTGGGAGGGGTTGGCTTCACTCAGCTCCTTCGGTTGAGTTAGATTTGAGTGGCAGGTGGGGGTCAGTGAGAGCTGTGACAGGTGTGGTTGATCAAACATCAATCACTACAGGCACTCGATTTCAGCAAAAGAGCTCCTGTCCATCTATCTCAAGTTAGTGGACATCATTCAGGAGACTGTTCTATCAGAAAATGTGCCGCTATGTCACAGAGCAAGGTCTCTCTGATTGATTGACGTGTGGCGTCCAGCTGAAAAAGTTCAGATTTTCCAACTCCAGCGTTGGTTGCTTTGGACGTGCCGCACACGTCAAATGCTCAACCCATACCAAATCGCTTCGAAACGTGCTAGATCTGCTGCAAAGCTTCTTGACGCCCCTAGAGGTGCATCTACCATAGCCTTTGCATGTAAACTTGATGCTCAAAACACATTTGGTCTGAACCTAGCACAAGTTACCAGTTCCTGAGTCACTACTTCCTGCTCCAGTCTGAGTATCTACAAGGTTTCCAGCTCCAGAGTTTACTACGTGTTGAAAACCTAATACGTTCTCACTCCCGACTCGACAACATATTGACACTTGGTCAGGGACCGTCTGCGTCCAGTTTTGAGGCGTCAGGTACATGCGTCCGTCCTTGCTGCCCGCGGATCTTCCGGGTTGCGACGCTTAGGGGTCTTTGGGTTGGGGGTCTGAGGTTAACATCAGGGATCAGGATTAATGATTAATTTTAGGTCAGGGATATGCTGTATAGGGCTAATATAGGTTAAATTTAGGGTCTGGGATGGTTAGTTCTCGTGAATTCTCTATATTTTCAAAAATGATTAATCATTGATCAGGGTTAATGGTTAATTTTGCTGGGAAGTTAAAATTAGGGTCTGGGATGGTTAGTTTCACGCATTTCCTACTCTTAAAAAAATATGAAAACGCGGTCGTCCTCCTCCACCTCATCTCATAAAAAACTGACGCGCGGGGGGCACCCGGCGCATCAAAACTGGACGCAAAAGGCTAGCTGACCAAGCATCAATATGATGACGCAGCGGGAGTGAGAATACATTGGAAAACCACGCCTCTCACCTGTCTGTCTCTGACAGGGTTGAGGACGATGCCTCTCTCCTGTCAGCCATCAAAAGCGTGGAGGAAGAAGCCTCTCACTGGCCTGTCTCAGAGGGGGTCGGGGATGAAGCCTCCCTTGTGTTTGCCTAGAGGGTTTTCAGGCCGTTGAACTTTATTTAGCGACGCCCTTTTGGGTGGGGTTACTGTCAGAATCTCTGTTTTTAGCTAATTTTATGCCACACTGACTCATTTCGTGTTTTCATGTTCATTGTACTTGCCTGTTTGTCCTGTAGATATTCCGCTGCCACGTCAGCATTTTGTTTTGCCTTTTATAATAAACAAGTTTTTGTTTCCTGAACTTCCCTTGTTTGTCTGTTTTGTAGGTCCAATCCTCCGGCCTTAAACCAATCCGTTAAACACAACAGGAACTCATGAAGGTTTCAGGTATGTCATATAAGTGACAGAAAAAGCTTTTTACAACATTCCCTTCATTTCTTTCTGTTTAAAGTAAAGAGATTGAGATTCTGCCACACAGAGACAGGTATTACTTTGTTACATCCTTTCATGTCATCTTACTCAGGAAACTTTGTTCTTATTGAAATCTATTCTTTGTTTCATCAGGTTCTGTTATCACCTGATGGGTTAGAGATAAAGACATGTGGTGTTCCTGCACTTTGTCAGTGTTTTTAGGGATTGGGAGCGCTATGAGCCCCTCTGTGTGACCTCCCACCCTGACAGTCCGTGTGAATTGATCTGCATTGTGTCGTTTATCACTCTTCATCGACTGACTTGAATTCTTCCTGATCTTGTGATCTCAGAGAGTTGAAAGTCTTCAAACATTTCTCTGCAGTGTTTCAAATGAAGAATGTGCCGCTCTGCTATGAAAACACCCTTCAGTTGGAACCAGAACGTCTGACTGGCATAGCAACTGGGATATTTTTCCTCCACCACCCCTGGAACACAACATTCCTCCCAGCTTTCCACAAAGAGCTTCAATGTGGCTTTAAAATGTTTCATTAAGGTTTATTGAGGGAACGCTTTAGGTTGTTGGTTCTGTGAGATCTGCTCAAAATTCTGAAGGAACCTGGTTCCACCTTTTTCAGACAAACTGACGTAACTGTGCAAATAAAAACGCTGAAAGGTTTAGACACTGTAGGTCATGTCACAATAAATGTAAAAATAACTTGTGTCTAAGTTTGATTAAAGATCCAAATCTTTTGATTTGTTTATCCAAAAAATACATTGAAACACGTGGAAACAGGTTGCTGTGACTTTAAATAGAAGTACCCAAACAAAACGCAACAAAAACATGACAAATCTCCACATAAACAATAGGTTTTTCGTTGAAGTCTGCATCTGAACTTGTGTTTTCATTTCTTTAGTATTTTTTACACAATCAAAGTTTAGTTTTTTATAATCTAGCTGGAATCTACAGTAAACTGTTTAAATTAGAGCCTGACTCGTCTTACGCCAATAATTTTTACATTGTTAAAGCAGTTTGTTAAAATTTTAGATTTGCTTTGTTTTTTGTTCACTTTGTGTCTCACTGCTTCATATTTTGTAAGAACTGAGAACTCTGTTCTCTCCTGCTGTAAGAAAGCTCTGGTTTGTGAGTTCATGCAGTGTGTTCTACACCATCTGAGCTGAACTCTTTTCTTGTGTGGCATCCAACAACTCATATGATTAGTCCAAAGTCTAAAGTGTGTGTGGTTCATGTGCTTTGCATTTAAGTTACTCATGAAGCATGAAATGATCAGATAAACAGTTTCAGTTGATGATGGAGGAGTCGGAGGAGGAGGATCTGGTATTTCGGTTGTTAACTCAGGAGAAGTGCTATTTTAAAAACTTGTCAGACATTTGTCTGACAGATGAACTTGTCCCTGCACTTCACAGCTGAGATGTCCTCCCTGCTGCAGCACAGCTGCAGAGAGCCGCCTATGTCTCCACGCTGTCTCCTCTGTGCACATGTCCAATCTCCCTCTATGACTTCTTTTACTCTTGTTCTAAGCTTGTCTGGAGCAGTTATAAACATGTTTTCTGTGTCGTTCACCTACTCCACATAAAAACACCCACAGTTTTGACCAATTACACAATGCATACGCTGCCAGACAAAAGTTAGGACTGGGGGTAATGTACAAGATGGGGTCTCATCGGGGAGTGTGAGGAGAAAAATGCAATTTTCATAACTCAATTGCATCAGTGGAACACTTGTGTTTCCATTCAATTTTAATGCACATTTTGAGCAAACTTTTAAAATGTTGCAAAAAAAAAGGCACATCAGATGTGTTTCCATGAACTGGCTTGGAGCGAATCAATCAGGCTACACAAAATAATTACGTCAGACGTTGACTTTACGCATGGCTGTAGTACTGTAAACAGGAGGTAACAAACTAGCAGAGACACACATCTCAGGACAATGGAGAGAAGTTTTCAGGGCAAGTTGTGATTGATCTGTCAAATCAACTAGTATTAGTGATGTTGCTATCACAACATATGACATGTTCTTTCTCTATGACATAGAGAAAGAAATGTAATTCTCTTCACATTACCGGAATAACTGAGAAGACGCTGAGAGCAGGAGCTGTGGACACTACAATTATTTGACAAGAAGAAGAAGTTAATTTGAGATAGACGTTTTCTAGAATTACTCAGCAAATGTGTTTCCATGTCCCCTTTTGTGCACTAACTATTTTTTGAAAATCCAAAAACCACATCAAGCGTAAAAGCTTTTTTTTTTGCAACACTGACAAAGTTTTTTTTTAATTTTTTACAAATTTTGCCATTTCCATCCAGCTTTTCTGATTCGATACTTCAAAATGTGCATAAAAAACAATGGAAACATGGCTACAGTCTCACTTCTCATAGAAAAATGTTTGTGTTTTTGTATTTTTGTGCTGAGATTACTGTAATAATCTGTTTACTGTCTGAACTAACAATCACTTTTATGTGTTAAAGCTTTTCAAATCACAGCATTTATTACTCTGAGTTACTGTTTTCACTGGCTCTCTTTTGGAAGTTGTTACAAAGTACTCGTAATTACATAACTTTAAATGATCAGTTCCTGATTATTTACATCTGTTTTTAACGAATCACGTTTTTGTATTGTGCCTTTGATCTAAAAGCTTAAAATCTGTTGGTTGATCCTCATCCCGACCTAAAACCTAAAGAACATAAAACCTTTCTGACAACATTGTTTTGCTGACTGAATATTTTTGAAAACATGTTTCATTGTGATTATTTTCACATGTTTTATTGTTTGTAGTTTCATTTTGTTTTGGTGTTGTGGCAGGAGGTTTGTAAAAAACGCCCATCTCTTTCTACTTTTATATAGTTTATACGAGGGGCGGAGCCAGAGGTGTGGCCAGGTGGCAAGTGCCGCCCCTAAACAACTGACAAGTGGGTGGTGATCTTTGGATTTTGTATTTGCATTTAGATTTTGTTAAAGATTAATTCAAATTCATGTCAATAAGTCTGAAAATGGCTGAATTATAATGTTTTAAAATTAGTTGTGGTGGCCATCTTGAATTTTTAATTATTTAGAATTTCGTAAAAAATTGTTTTCAGCTAATCTTCAGTTTTGTGGATTTAAAAATGTTTGAATAATAAGTTGTGAGCATTCAGCATGTTTTTTTTTTGTTCAGCTCAATATTTCTTAAAACAGCTGGATTAAAGACATTTAAAATTAGCCGTGGCAGCCATTTTGCATGTGCCCTTTAAAAAAAACCTTTGTGACCCCTTGCAGAAAAGTCTAGCTCCGCCCCTGCTACACCTCCAAACATCATTTTGTAAAGTTAAACTATTACAAAAGTTACTTCCTATTACAGTATAATGTGCTTTAAGACTGTTGGTGGATTTTGTACAACAGCTGGATTGGCACCCATTTAAAAGTTCCAAGTTCTTTTGAATTAATTAATTAATTAATTAATTAATTAATTAATATTTTTGGTCACTCTGTAATAGTTGTGAGGGCAGAGCGCCAGATGATGAAACAGTTTCCTGCAGAAACATCTCACCAGACGCGCACGCAGCTCAGCCCTCCGAACAGCAGACCCAGGAGGAAAGCCGCGGGCACGGCCAGCAGCGCGCTCAGCAGGCGGTAGAAGAAGAACTTCACCAGCTCGAAGGTGGCGTGGCTTCCGACCCACACTCTGTCGAAGCTGTGCGCAGAGACTGGCTCCGCGATCAGATCCTCAAAGCCCACCTGTCACGCGCCAAACCATTAACAGCCCGAAACACAGACAGAAAGTGAGATGATGGATTAACTGAGACTTCCGGGTATTCCTGCAGTTTACAGTAAATGATCAGCAGCCTCCATCTGCCCACCTTCAGATGCGCGTTGATGCCGCTCGGGTCTCGGTCCGGCACAGCAGCGAACCCCTTCTTGTTTTTAGACAGAATCGGTTCTTTGGATCTGTTGAACTCGTCCATGATGATGCTGGTGTCCGATCGTTCCTTCTCTACACCCATGTTGGCGGCTCGTCCCAGGCCGGCAGACGGTGCAGGGAGAGCAGCTGGTGACGGTGCGCCGCGCGCCGGACTGAGCGCCACCCCGCCCCGCGCGCCGGAGTCCAGGAGACGCAACAAGAGCGCAGTCAGACTCCAGATTCCTGAGTCCGGACCAGTTCTGCAGCTCAGAGCTGAGAGACGCCACTGTGCAGAGTTCTGGGCCTGGATCAGGTTTACAGCTCTCCTGGCCTGAAGACAGGCCGCGTGAAGGAACTGTTGACAGTTTTAAGTGTTTTAAATACTAAAATGGAACACCTTGGACCAGTGGTTCCCAAACTTTTTATCTTCTGACCCACAAAATATCCATGGCAAAACCTTGTGACCCCAAATATTACTGTTCTGAGTACATGAACTTCGTTAATAACCCTAAAAACACAGGCTTTTTGACAATCTAAACAGCTTGTACACAAATATAAATACTTATTTTTACTTATTTTCTGTTTTTGTAATAATTATAGGGAAAATATTACACCAGCAATCATTTTATTTCCCTTTAAATTGATTTCTGGAGATTATCCAAGGTGCTTCATGACCCGTAATTGGGTCCCAAGCCCCAATGGTTCCCAAACTTTTCAGCTTTTGACCCACAGAATGGTACAAAACAGTAGCAGAGACCTGTGCCCCCAGATATTTTTGGATGATAAACATTTGTATCAGGTCAACAAAACATGGGCATAGTAACAATATTTTTATACTACATTAATCCATTTTAAATATACTAACCTCACTCCTTTGTAACAACTAAGGCAAAAATGTAATTAATTCAGAAAATCTTTTCAGGACCCCACCTTGATGTTTTGGGACCCCACTTTGGGTCACGACCCCAACTTTGGGAAACACTGCTTTAGAATATACCTAGTACACTTAAAGTGTATTTCTAAGTATATTTGAAGTTGTTCTATTTTAGTATTTAAAAGTATACCTAATACACTTAAAATTGTGCTTTTGTACAACTTAAATACAACTAAAGTATATTTAGTATTAAGTTAGTTGTTCCAAAATAGCACTCTTTAAGTATACTGATGATTAGTGCAGCTTAAAGTATGCTAAAGTATACTTAGATTTAGTATACTTAGTATAATATTTTTTCACCTGGGGGAGGAGCTTCATCAGGACTTTAAATCTCTAAGACTTCTTGTTAAAAGGTTACTGAATAAAAAAAAATCTTATTTTATTTACAAAAACATGATGGGCACAACTGAAGGTCCGCAGGCCAGATATGGTCCCTTTTTCATGATTTCTTCTGGCCCACAGGAGAATTTTAGAACCGGATCAGGTTTCTGGCACTTCTCATTTAAACCAAAGATCTGCAGAGCATCCTGCGACCCATTCCACACTGCTCCGGGTGTTTACATGTCTTGTTCACACAGTTTTCTTTTTGCTTTTCAAAGTGGAGGTTTGTAAGAAAAAAAATAACGATTTCTGCTGCATCCATGGATTTAACAGAGGTTTTTGGAAACAGCGGCCGTTTTATTTTGCACGTTGTGCTCTGAAACCTAAAACAATGAAGTTATTTTTACTGATTTAGTCTGTTTTGTCTTGCTGCAGTTATCTTCACAATCAAACATGGATTTTTTTTTGTTGCTGAATGTTTAATAACGAATGTCAATAAAACACAAGTTAGAGGAGAATCATTTTGCTGAGCTAAGCATTTTGTTTTGTTGTATTTTAAGATTTGCCTCCTTGGATGTTTTTTATTTATTTATTGTTGGCATGAATGATCCATCCACCTCCTTTACCTGCTTCCTCCTTTCAGGGTCACTGGTGCATATTCAGCAGTCACTGAGGGGCGGGGTACACCCTGAACACGTTGCAAGTTCATCACAGGGACACACAACCGTTTACACTCACAACTTAACATTTCACCTGACATGTGTGTTTTACGTGGGAGGAGCCAAAGTGCCTGGAGAAAACCCACACATGCACAGAGAGAACATGCAAACTCTGCCATGCTGAATAACGTTTAACCTTTTTTGTAAAATAGGTTTTTCAAAAAAAAAAATCCCACAATATGATACCTATTAAATAAAGATTAAGTCATATAAAACAAGTGACTGCATAAATATTGACCCACTTTAAAAGGATCCCTGATTAGTTGTAACATTAGATTTTATTTGATAAACATATATTTTAACTATAAAATAAAGACTGTAAAAATACTGTAGGATGTTCAGTTTTTATCATTACATCATTATCATCATTACACGGATGGGGCCATTTTATTTACACACAAAGCATTCTGGGTAAATGATGATGTCAACTAGGTCATCGGTGCGAGGCTGCTAGCGAGCTATATCCACCCTGAAGGTTAATCTTGGACAATATCTGATGATCGACTCTTTTAAATGAAGCCAGAGAGCGTTGACAGAGAGGAGAAGGTAGAAATGACTCAGCCTGGAACTGAAAATATGGATGGAGGACCTCAGTTTAGCTTGTTTGTCGTGCTAGCGCTGAGCTAATACATATAAGGCAATATAACGTCAGCGCTAGTGCAAAAGCTAACAGGCTGAGCTGAGGTTCTTCTTCCATGAAGCAACTCTGTTGTCCTCCATCTATATTTTCAGTTCCAGGCTGAGTCATTTCTACCTTCTCCTCTCTGTCAACGCTCTCTGGTTTCATTTAAAAGAGTCGATCATCAGATATTGTCCAAGATTAACCTTCAGGGTGGATATAGCTCACTCACACTGAGGACCTATCCACGTCATCATTTACCCAGAATGCTTTGCATATAAATAAAACGGCTCCGTCCGTGTTAAAATATATTTTAAAAAATTTACAAGACTAAACAGCCTATAGTATTTTTGCAGTCTTTATTTTACAGTAAAAATATACGTTTATCAAATAAAGTCTAATGTTACAACTAATCAGGGATCCCTTTAAAAACACTCAACTCAGAGAACAGATGACTGAAGCCACATTTCCAAGTTCTGTTAAAACCATCAAGAACTGGAAGGAATGTGGGAACTTGTAAATCTACCAGGAGCACATACTGAGAGACACAAAGAGAACAGTGAGAGAGACCACCTGAGACCACTCTGAAGGAGGTCCCAGCTTCAGCAGGTCAGTTGAAGAGAGTGAGCTGTCGACCTGCTTCACAGCTCTGAGGTGAAACAGACATAAAGTAAACCCATTGATTAAATCTAGAATCTCTAAACAAAATGTATTTTCTGTAAAGTTGTGTCATGAGGTTTCAGTTTACTGAGAGAAAAGCAAAAACAGAGAAAAAATATCTGGAGTTTTAGACGAGGCTTTATTTTTGGTGTTTTACAATGTAAGAGTTTAGCTCACATGATGTGATTATCTCTGATCGTATAGTTTTTACAAGTGTTTATTGAATTTTCTGTTTTGTTTTAATTTCTCTGCAGCACTTTGTTGTTTTTTCTCACGTCTTTAGCGTCTCAACACATAAAATCCTCTTGTTACTGCAGAGGAACCGAGCGTCCGACCTGCTGATGTGAGTTATGATGTTATTCTCTTTAATGTCTTGGATCACGTAGATTTGTTGTTGTCTGACTGTTTGATGCTTTGAAGTCACCAACCAGCATTGTTTGAATAACTGCAGCTTTTCAAGGTCTGAAAGGAACCAAAACAGGAAGACGTTTTTTTCCTCATGCGTCTAATGAAGGAAAAAGGTTTTTAAAAAACAAAGAAGTCCCATTATAACATCACAGCAGAGATGACAAATAAAAAATACAGAAATACACACACAAAAAAAAAAACAGATGTGTTGGATTTACTTAACCAAATTGTCAACTGGTTCCACTCAGCTGAGTTGAGTAAATGTAAAGCAACTCATTTAATGCCAAACTTTTTTCAGACATGAAATCTTCTAAATCAAACGTCATTGATAGCCTTTTGAACTAATCCATATAAAAACAATAATAAAAATGGTTGAAATATGTATGAAAAAGTGTGTTTCATATGATTGTGTAGTATTCTAACTTGGATGAGCTACAAATGCTGTTTACCAAAGATCATGATACAATGTGAACATTGTTTCTCCTTTTAAATATAACTAGTGCAACATTTGTAATTGTACTTTGTATAATAATAATAATTGTGATCTTGTCATTGTTACATTTTAGTGCAACGTTCACCAGAAAACATGCATAACAAACAGGGAGGGGTTAGACAAAAAAAAGAAAAAAAAAAACGGAAACATCTTTCATTTTAGTGTGGGAGGTTTCATGGCTAAATTGGACCAGTCTGGTGGCCAATCTTCATTACCGTAATTGCACCAGTAAGAGCAGAGTGTGAAGGTTCAATTAGCAGAGTAAGAGCACAGTTTTGCTCAAAATATTACAATGCACAAACATTATGGGTGACATACCAGAGTTCAAAAGAGGACAAATTGTTGGTGCACGTCTTGCTGGTGCATCTGTGACCAAGACAGCACGTCTTTGTGATGGATCAAGAGTCACAGTATCCAGGGTAATGTCAGCATACCACCAAGAAGGACCAACCACATCCAACAGGATTAACTGTGGACACAAGAGGAAGCTGTCTGAAAGGGATGTTATGGTCTAAAACCAGGTGTTTCACTTTCATTGTCTAACCCCTGTATGTGATCCATTCAAGCTGAACATAAAATATTCAGGCAAAGTACAAATTCAGGTGTTTGCATATTTTATTCCAAGGTAAATGTTGAATGAGTTCAACTTTTGAACAAAGAGCTTGACTGTTTTACTGCTGTATATTGAACTGTCCTACGTTGTACAAAACTAGGATAAAGGCTCAAACTGGGATTTTGGTGTAATACTGGATTAATTAATCCATGATTCAGTAGCACAAAAGAGGAATGGACTGTAAACGGTAAATGGACTGTACTTGTTTAGCGTCTTTCTATCCAACCAGGACACTCTAACAAGTGCTCTGAACCTAATCTGGCCCCAACCAGGTTTGAAGTGGAGCTAATTTAATCTGTTAATGTTTCTGAGCAGTAGACGTCACTTCTCTGCAAAACATTGTCCAGCTAAATCTGAACACCTTACATCAGCCTACATGCTTTTCTGATCTTGGGACTGATATACTAACAAAGAGCAGAATATGTTGGATTATTAATCTTGTTCACCTGAAAAGTTTCCCTTATTTCAAGAAGTTTTACCAAGTGCACCTGTCAAACTGCACTGGTAAATTATTTGTTATTATTAATCTGTGAAGGTTCAGTTTATAATCTAGTATTTTTCTAACTTATTTTTACATTGCACAGTTTTTGAAGTGTCTGATCAGAAATCAGTGATTCAATGTATTCTTTTTACTATGCATTAAAATAT